CAGCTCTTGCAAAATTGCTTTTAGGCTTAAAATAAAAAATATAACTGAATGAAAAGACTTTGCAAACTGAATAGTATGCAAGGTAAGATCTTTTTTTTTAATTTTTTTTTTTTTATACAAGAATTGGGGTACTGGTGCTACAGAGGTTGCAGGCAGCTTCGCAAGCCAGCACTCAACTGCTGCGCCACTGGGGAGGCCCTGCAAGGTAAGATCTTTTATAGACAGAGTGGAATAGCATCACAGACATCTAGTCTACCAAAGCAAGCTAAGCCTTTGCGTGCCTGAGCCGTGCTCTGGGTGTTCACACATTGTTCTGTATTTTTCTTTGCAAGCTGAGGTGCCTAGTGAGTTATAAGAGGTGCTGCCATGGGCAGTGGGAAGGTATCACTTGAACATTCCTTTCTCTGACCAGTGATTGCTCACTGCATTCTTTTCAAAGGCCGAGAAGGGAAAGAGAGGGAGGTTCTGACACCCACAGATTCCAGTGTCATTGGCAGCTACGTGGATGAGGGCTCTAGCTTTGTTTCCTCTCCCGGTGAAGCCTCCACGAATCACAGTGGCCTGGGGCATCGGCTGAGGCCTGGGGAGCATTCCTGCCCTGTCAGTCCCTCTGGAGTGGTCTCTGTGATAACCTGGGTATCTGGCTGCTGGGTAGGGGGATACCCAGGCCATCAAGGGCTGCTCACTCAGGGGACTACATGAGAGATGAGGTGTGTCGTCAAGACTTCTGTACCAGCAGGCTGGTTTCAGGACTGGAGGACAGGTGATCGCAGCTAAAGTCCCAGTTCCACTGAGAAGCACCTGCAGGTGTGAAAAGGACGGCCCCTGCTCTCAGGACCCTGCACATATCTCTGGTTTCTGCGCTCAGCAGCACTCCACCATCTTGACCCCTAGGAGGCACCAGAGCCATGGTCAACCTGACCTTTTGCTGGGAGTTGAAATACTCAGCCTTTACAGAGACCTGAGTAAAAGTGCGCTGGTCTGTTCTGGGCTTTGGGGGTCTGTAAGCTCACCTCTGCAGTTTGTCTTGACTGTGGCAACACAGGCACCTGTAACAGTCAGTGGATGTGGCTCAAATCGGGGAGGGCAACATGCCCTATGTCCAGACCCAAGGACGGGGCAGGGTGGTCACTGCTGTGAATGCGGGTGGGCAAGGAGGGTGAGTGACAGTGTTTTCATGCTGAGAGGAGTGAGTGTTAGAACTACAAGCTCTGAAAGAAAAGACACAAGCACCTGTGTGACACAGTCTCACACTCATTCATACTCACTTACGTGGGTTCATGTTCACACATGCTTGCACCCCCAGAAACCCATAGAACATGCACCCAGGCAGCAGACTTTGAACTGTATGTTTCTGAGTGTTGCTATCAGATGAGGGGGCTCTGAGGAGAGGACTCACTGATGCTTGGGAACCCCCGAGTGATCTACGAGGGAGCCACCTGTGGGGTGGACAAACTGGTGCAACCAGTGAAATCCTGGCACCTCCTGAGGAAAACCTCAGAGGAACATTGGCTTGGACAATATCGATGTTAGGAGAGAGTGTCCTAGAATGCAAAAGTGACAACGTTTTGGTTGTAGACACAAGTCAGCTCCATGGCTGCAGCGGCAACACCATGACTGAGCTGTTTTTCTTTTTTTTTTTTTTTTAAGATTTATTTTATTTATACAAGAGCTGGGGTACTGGCCAGATGTGCGGGAGGGTGAGAGGATTCACCAGAGACAGAGTGGGGAGCAGAACAGGCAGACTGACTGAAATACACTGCTGAGGGGAGCAGTGGGCTAGTCAAGAGAGGTCTGCTCACCATGTGGGTTGCTCCGAGATCGGCGGGGATCGAACCAGCACTGCAGGGGCTGCAGACAGCTTCACAGCGCTGTGCTAAACCGCCTGCGCCACCAGGGAGGCCCAAGCTGTGTTTTTCTTTGAAGGACTCTCCTTGACTCCATCCTGTAGCCTGGAAGGAACCTCTTCTCTGAGGAGGAACTCATGTGTGGACCTGGGTCTTTGGTCTCTCTGTTCTGAGCTCTCCTTTCTGTGGACCTTCATGTCTCCACACATTCACAGGCATACGGAGGTGAGGTGACCTTGTTTCCTTTTTCTTCAGGGTTGAATGTTAACAGAAGCAAGAAGAAGAGAGCCAGGGAGGAAGCAGAGCAGGGCTTCCCGGGCAGCTCGTGTCCATAAGTTCTGATGGAGGCAGGCAACAACACTCTACAAGGCTTCTTGTGAACGGGCCCAGTGTCCAGAGTCATCCCCTGCCAGGTGCCTTCTGAACCAACAGAGATACTTCTCGGGGCCATCTTAGAATCTCCAGGTCACCAAGAAATTGAAAACTCGCTTCCTGAGCAGTGGGTGTGGGTGAGCCCATGAAAATCATTTCCTTCTGTATTTCCTTGCCTGCTCAGTATCCCGTAAGGTGGGCATTTCCTCTCCCATGGCCGTGCTGAGTTCCTGCAGACCGTGTCCCTCACGGCGCTCGGGAATCCATGATGTCACTCGACAGAGCTGTGGAGAATAAGGCACTGTCTCTTTATTTCATGAGTAAGAAAGAGTTGTTTGTGAGCAATGTACATTTTCCATTCATTGTTCCACGGTTTAATAACAGTTGTGGAAAACTGAGTCATCAAAAAGCCTCAAAGCGGGTTGAGCACAGCACTATGGGGCTGTCCACAGCCTCTACAGCGCGGGTTTGATTCCCGACTGGCTAGGGAGATTCCCACATGGCGCAGCAGACCTCTCCTGTCTCACCCGCTGATCCCCTCAGCAGTGTCTTTGGTCTGCCTGCCTATTCTGCTCCCCGCTCTGTCTCTGGTGAATCCTCTCACCCCCCACACCTCTGGCCTGTACCCCAGCTCTTGTATAAATAAAAATAAATCTTAAAAAAAGAAAAAAGCCTCAAAGATGGTGAAGGCTGTAAGTCTTATGATTCACGACTTTGGTAAAAGAAGCTGAACCCAAACAATATTCCTGGAAATGCCCCCAGCACAGTGGCACATGGCTGGGAGGATCATTTGGTCCGACAATGTCCCTTGAGGGGGCAGTGACCAGTCGCAGGGCCATGGGACTGTGTTCAGATGAGCCGGGAAGCTGGGTGTTCTGGGGGGTGCTGACTGAATTCCAGTGGCAGAGGCTCTGGAAAAGTGTTCTTTCTTCCTCCAGGTTGATTTTGTAAAACTACAAAAACTGCTAAAATAAATGACCTTAAGAAGAGCTCTCTGTAGTGAAACATGAAGTTATGGGACCTGGGTCTGGCTGTTGGCTCAAATGCTACTGCTTGGCGCCATTGAAAAAGGGATTGGTTGTACGTATTCTGGTGGGAGAGAGAGACACAGACCCAAGACAGAGAGGCAGAGGCGGAGACACAGAGACAGACATATACAGAGACAGAGAGAGACATGCACAGAAAGAGACGTACAGGGAGAGGCAGAGAAAGGAACAGTGAAAGGGAGGGTGGGGGGCGACAGAGACAGACACCCAGAGAGAGGGGCTGAGCAGCCACCACCAGCAAGCGGGGCAGACTGGGCTGGTTTCGGTTAGTAAGACCCCCCGTAATTCTCTCTGTACTGATTTCAGGTCCAGAATCACCCCCACAGCACCCAGTTCCCACAGTGGGGCACCTCCTCCTCTAACGTGTTCCGGGGGGCTTCCCAGTGGGCGAGCAGTCCTGTCCTGCGGCCAGGCACGAGCACAGAACAGTGGCTCTGGGGGAAGAAAGGGAAACACTGAGCTAGGAGAAGGTGACAGAAGTCTTTGCTGCCCTGCTCCTCGGAGTTTGGACAGGGCACAGGGCATGCGCGGCCTTATTTTCCTTATTTTGGTTGGGGAAACTGCCAGTTGCATAGCACAGCTCTGTCCTTTTGGGGCTTCCCTCTGAGGGACGTCAGGGAGGAGATAGAGCAGGAGGGGGCTTGAGGCGCTGCTCCTCTGCTCGATCATGCTGAGAAAATACCAGGTTTCAACCCCTTAATCATCCTTGCTTTCCCCAGAAAAGGACAGATTCCCACCCTGAGCCCACAGCCAGGTTCCCATGGAAGCTAGTATTCCCAAGGTGCAAGGCACTGGCACTGTCTATCTCTGGCAGAGAACTTGCATGTGTGCATGTGAGTGGTGTGCATGTATGTGGCCTGCACAACCTAGGTGGCCAGTCACCCTGGGGCAGAGACCTGGCTCCTACTGACCTTGCCACCATCTAGCCCAGGTCTCTGTGCCTGCCTCTTCTGGGTAAGTGCCAGCATAGGATGGTGGCAGCCCTCATCTGCAATTGCGGTCACGGGAAACTGCGTCTCTGTGACTTACTGGTGTCAGTGCCACAGACCTAGTGTCCCGTGCCTACCTGTCCAACGTCCTGCTCTCCTGTTTCCGGAGCAGCCTGAGGTCCGCTGGGCTGTTCACAGTGTGTGCGAGTCCCAGCTGGTCCCATGGCTGCCACTGGGGTGTGAGGCCAGCCAGCGAGATCCCCCACCATTAGCTGGGAGCAGCGGCCTCTAGCAGACTGTGTACGTATGTGCAGGTTGTGCATGCATGAGGGTGCTTTCATGTGCACACGCACATGTGTATACAAACCCCTTTAAAACAGAAGACGAGGCTCTGGAATCTTTCCTGCCCCTCCCCACCAGTGCGCTGCAGCTCCCTTCACTGAGAAAGGGAGCGCTCACAACCTTGCATTGGCTCCTTTTGGAATTTGAGGGCTCTCTGCCCACTTCCACAAGTGTGCAGCCAGGCCCTCGCTGGGCAGACACCCCCATGGGCGGAGGAACAAGGCCTTCTCTGGGGGGACCAGGGCCCTCCCTTTGTGTGAGGCAGGAGCTCACAGATTTGCTGAGTGACCTGGGGTATCCACCTTTGTAGGCTGTGGCTGGGACAGTATTTTAAAAAAAACCACATTGCACATGTGACAGAGCCATTTAACACCATTTTTCTGACAGGATGGCCTACCGTGCTCTAATAATGTCCATGACAATCACCAGAGGACTAATTTCAAATTTTTATTAAAAATCACAGTTCAAAAATAAGTCTAGTGACCAAAGGGAGCTTGAAATGGATGGAGAGTACTGTGCCCCGCTTAACCGATGAGGTGGGCTCCCTGGGGAACCTCCCAGCAATCACCTCCACCAGCGGGGTCCATGCGGTGCTGGTGAAACTGACCTCACTGTCCAGCAAGTAACAGCCAGGCGTTGGTCAAGCGGAAAACAGGCGTGCAATTATTTTAACTAGTGTGTGGATCACCTTTCTGTTACGAAACCATCAGTCTCCCTGGGGACAAGGTGTTTGCGGCATCAGTCTAACTGCTACAGGTGGGGCAGTCTGGCTGCCCGTGATGCCCCTATATTCCCTGCTCAACAAGGACCAGAGACACTGCATGTGGACTGAGCCTGACCCAGGTGAAAACACAACAGAAGCACTGGACCACATGTGTGAAGATCCAATCCAAACTTTCAACCCCCACAAGAAGCACTGAGACTTTCCCAACCTTCTACATTTAGTGCTTTCACATTCTAAATACTTCTTAAATTCAGTTACCTTTTCCTACGCGCCTTCCTCTGACCCTGCAAAGTGGGAGTGACTCCTAGCTGCAGGTGTTGCTGGATGGATCAGACATGCACACGCAGCCTCTGGCCACTGTGGGAATTCTATTCAGGGCAGAGGGACAGCAGGGGAGAGGGTGGCTGCCTCAGGGCTGGGCTTGGGGAAGTCAGCCTTCCTCCTTCCTATCCCCTCCCAGATGCTTTTCAGCCCCAGCTCCCAGGGAGGGGCAGGAGGCTGCTAGAGTCAGGAAAACCCCAGCAGAGAGGCCTCCACACTCACTCTGTGCTCGCTCCCTCGCTCTGTGAGCCCTTACTAGACACACTCTGGGCCAGAAGGAAGACCCAGGAGCTCAGCACATGGCTTGCTTCCCCGAGGTCATTGCCACTCTACAAAAGGCAGCCCCGCCAGCCCTTCCTTTTATGATTTTAAATCTGTATTTGGCCTGACCAATAGAGAGGTTACCATTAATCCCTTTCATGGCAAGGACTCCCAACATTATCATCACTGTATTTTACATCAGACCAACACACAAGGGATCCTCTTTTGAACAAAATGATTGAACTACCAGACAGCACGATTTCAAAAAGCATCCATGGCTTCTAACAATTTTTAAACACAAGATATCCCAGTGACTCCTATCTTCTGGCCAAGCAAAGGTGCCAATTTTCTTTCTTTCTGCCTGGCTGTCCTCTTTTGGGAGTGGAACCTTCCTACCTCTGTAAGCTGGACACTTACTTTCAAATGTATTCTGTGCAACTGAGGAAGAGATGGTGAGCTATGGATTTTGAATGACCTAAGAAAGAAGGCTAAATAACGCTTTAATTATCAAGGGTCACAACAAAATTGACATTAGTGGGCAGATGACTTTATAGTTAAACATCAGTCAAGGATTAACTAAAACTGGGGTACTAGAAAAGAATTCTCAGGTCTTGGTCTTCAACCCAAAGTCAACTCAATAAGGCCTACTCATGGCAAGGGCCAGAGTGTATGGCTTTATTACCAATCCACACTTTCTTAGAAACTCATTTTAGATGCCCGGCCATCAGGTTGTCCTTACCAGGGCATTCTGGCAGCAGCCTCTGTGCAAGGGGAGGGAGTGCAGGGCACAGGCTGTGGATCACAGCCCAATGCTGTCTGTGCTTGGTCAGACTTGAGATAACAGCCTCCTGCTCCCCTGCGTGGTCCCCGTGAAAAGACTGATTTATTCATCTCCATTCAAGTACAGTCTCCTGAGAGTGTGCGGGAGAGGCCTCAGGGGAAATAAACCAAACCAATTCATTCTAACAGGTCCCATTTTTCACACAGACATGAATCTTTTGTCTCAGAACATTCAGAGCAACAGGAGTATCCATCCATCTTGACTTTACCCACTGAACTGGCAACTTACTTAGGAACTACGCTGGTCCAGTTTGCTTTATTTTTTAAGTCTCAAAGCACTTTTATCATCAGGAAAGCTTTTCGGTGGCATCACTCAGCGTCTTGGCCAGTCAGAGCCAGGTTCTGGAGGCAGCCAGGCCCCATTTTCTCCCCTTTCCTTTCGTCCACAAGCCCCACTGCTAACTGCATCCTTTCAGCACTTAAAATGCAGGGTGGCACACAAGTCCTGGCAATGCCTCTATGCTTGCCCTGTGGTCCAATGCAGCCCAGAACAAGAGATGATGAGACAAAAGAGGAATCTGGAAAGATTCTGAAAATAACCAGCTGTCACAACCACAAAGACAGAAAACAAGTGAATCTGTGGACACTTGGATCCAGTTGTCTGTTTTTCCTCCCACAGCTCTTCTGGGACACATTTGCTATGTGGAGGGTGAGTTCCAGGGCAGGCTTTGGGGTTCAGTCATGGGCCTGTCCCATGAGGCTTGCTGTCTTGAAGCGAGGGAGATGGAGACACTCAAAATCCATGCACTGGAATACATTTTCCTGTGATTCTTTGCTGGAATGCAGCCACAGACAGGCACGGAGTAGTTAGTTAACCACATCGTAGTAGTAATTTCGTAACCGAAGTTCCACTGCTACAAATCCAGGCCTGTTCTCCACACTGAAAAGAGAGGAGACGTGACTGTTAACAGGCTCCTGAAAACCAGTGATCGCAGCTGGGGCCTTTGAGGCCCCAGTTTGAATGCTGCGCCCTCTGGTGGCTTCTTCCAGGGCCTGCAATTCCCTGGCACCAGGTGAACCAGGTATCTGTGAAATACAATATCAGGCCACTCCAGGTATCCAGAACCCTAATTTGCAACCAACAGGCCCCCAGGTAACCCATGTTCACCTTAAAAATAAATAATTTCTGCACTTGAAGTCAGGGTCTTTAAACCCCAGGTCATAGTCTCTCTCCTTGTAACCTAGCAAAACTGAATGTGTCTGAAAATATTTATTGTTAAAAAATTTCTCTCCCATACACCTTAAATTTCCCTCCCATACACCAATGAAATTGTGCTGGATTTTCTGAAAGTCTCTTATTAAAACTCAAAGCTTGTTCACGGTTGAAACAAAGACCCAGGTGTTGACAATTATAAATTTTAACATAGCAAGACCTTATTTTTTGTCACTGTTGGCAGGTGAGGTGCTAATGGTTAAAAATTTTTAACAATTTTCAAACTAACCTTTTCAGACATCTCTGCTTTCTCTCACATGGGAGTGAACAGGGTCAGTTTCAGTAGGAAGCAATTGCTTCTCAACTGAGAATCGATTCTGAGTTGGAAGCTATTTTTCTTATTTTGTAAGATTTTTGGCTATATTTCAAGGGAATAAAGGTGCATACCAATAGGAACTTGAGGTTAAGTCATGTGAACTGTCCATATGCATCCTTTTTGACGTACAGCTGAATTTCCTATGGCTCAGTCTAGGAACCAGGGAACAGCAGGGAGCGTGGATGAGGACCAAGAATCACTCAGCATTATAGGGCAGAGTGGTTTCTACAGGACCAAAATGAATTGTTTTGCCAAATGGCATCAAAATAAACAGTTTCACCTGCAGCTCTCAGAGCAAGAAAAAAACATAATAAAACGGTTTGAATTATCAGTCATCTGTGATCATGGTTGGGGAAACAGGCCTCCTCAGTGTCCCTCACTTAGCGGCCATATCTGTGGTCACAAGTCAGGCCAAATAATGGCCAAGCCCAGGTCACAGAGGCATGTGTGAAAACTGTCTGCCCAAAGGGACTGCCTCCACACTGCTCCCAAAGGTCTACAGTTCAACTTCTGATCATCTTTGCAAAAAGGCATTCTGCTCCAATGTGCAGATCCAAATGCACAGAGCTCCACGGAATCTTGCCCATGTGGGTTTCAGACACTCAGCAGCCAAACACCAAGCAAACCTACATAAAGAAGAAGGGACACTGCCTCAGGAGTATCATTTGGGTGGGTTTCCTGGGAATTTCTTCTTTCTACCTTGGGAAAGCCTATCTCAAGTAAGCCCAGACAAGGCTGAGCTCCAGCAGAGGAGGGTGGCCAAGTGTCCTCTGCATGGCTGGCTTCTGCCCACCTCTCACCTGCCCTTACCTGTTTCCCTAATATGGGGGTGCTTTTTCCACTCTGCTGCTAGTGGCCAGAGGCCCCTTCCTTGCTTTCCCTGCCCTCAGGTTCCCATGCTACAGTTCTCAGGTGGGACGCCTGGTGTTAAAGAGACCAATATGGACCACCTAAAAGAGGAATAACCCCCATAATTTCCCTCATTCAAAGTTCCCATGCTTGGCTCTTTATCACCATCACAATATGCAATCATGAAATAAATAAGTAAATCTTTAACAATATGTAATCATGAGTTTATGCGAGGTTAATTTGTTTCATGTTCACCTAGCAACACCCAGCCCCTCAGCCCAGCCCAGCCCAGCCCAGCCCAGAATTATAACCTCCAGGAGGAAAGTGTTAATTAGTGCTAATTCACAGTGCTTAATACTTAAGAGTATGTCCATGATAAATCTAAAAGTGTATATGTATATTTCTGTCTAAATATGCATGCATGCATCCATCCATTCATCCAACATCTACCTACTACCCACCCATCACGTATTGACTGATCGATCTATCAGTCACCATCTAACCAGCTATCTATCACTATCCATCCATCTATCTATCTATCTATCTATCTATCTATCTATCTATCTATCTATCTATCTATCCTCTATTTACAAACCTGTCACTGGTGAAGGTGGCTGACTTTATAATGGAGAAAACAATGAAAACAGAAAAACTTCAAGTCTTTGAGAATATACAGGGATCATTTGCATCCCCTTCATTGACTTCTCCAGATTCTGGATACTTCCATGCCTCACAAAACTGTTTCCTTTCCTTCTACGGAGAAACTATCTCACACAGGGCTTCCAAATCACCCAGAGGCAACACACTGCTGGGCCGTGGGCCCTCCACAGTTTTGCACTCCCATGGGGCTCACAGAGAACACACTTGCTTTTTGTTTTTCCCCAGCACCCATATCTGATTCACAAAAGGAGACTTTATGCTTCTGTTCAGTGCCCAGTCAGCCTACCCAGCCTAGGCGTCTGGACAGATGGCGGGACATCACTACTTACTCATATGTCCAGCACAGGTTCATCAGCTCGTACATCTCCCTTGGACAGCCTGCGGGGCAGCCCATCCTCTCTCCTTTCTCCAGCATGGCGGAAACTTCACTTCCTTTCATTCCCTGAAACATGCAAAATATACCTGAGTTTTCAAAATTCAGTGTTAAGTAAGCAAAACAATAAATAAGCCCATGCCCGGAACGGCATGGAGCACATGCCCGGAGCACATGCTTGTATGACTGTAGTATGCAAAGAGCACCTGGTCTGTGGCACAGAAGGCAGGAGAGGGGTGCCCTTGTGCCAGGCTGGGGGCCTGAGGTCTGTTCTGTTTCTTCTCCTGGGGGCTGGTTTCAGGGTATGTCCCATTTGTGAGAATGCCTCAAGCTGTACCCTAGCATTGTGTACTTTCTAGTGCGTATAGCTTGATTTAAAAAAATCTAAAAATAGTAATACTTGCACCTTTGACACTGGAAATAGCCATTATTTCTAGTTCAACTCTAATTGATGTTGATATACATACCATTTTTAAGCATATTTATATGTGTGATACACTGAAAAAAAACCCATACTGTTCATTTAGCATCAAATTTCTAATTCAACTTAGAATCAACTGATGCTATATTAACTGCCCATTGTCAAAAGGTGGCGAAAGACTCAGAAAGCATGCCCTCGTTTTCAGATTCTCAGGGTCCTATAAAGAGTCTGCATTTGTCTCTTCTGATGACTCATAATTAGGAAATGAAGCAGCAATGGCTCACTCGGTAAGGCTTCTGCCCGTAGGAAAACGCTTCCCACATGAGCACTCCGAAGCTCCAGACGTCGCTCTTGCTGGAGAACTTGTAGTAGTTGATGCACTCTGGTGCGTACCACTTAACTGGCCACTTCCCGTGGGTCTGTGCCTGGGGGCCAAGAAACAGAGATGGTCCATGAAGAATGGAATAATGTGCACACATATTCCCAGCAGCGCTATTCCCAGCAGCCCAAATGTGGAAGCCACTCAAATGTCCATGGACAGGGGACAAACCAAATGGAGTGTGTCCATGACAGGATATTGTTCAGCCTTTAAGAGGAAGGGAATTCTGACACCTGCTGCAGCAGGGACAGACGACGAGATTGCCTTTCATGCAGCTGGAGACCAGTGTTCACAATGTGACTGTACCAACCAATGCTCCATCTTGATACGGTTAATATGGCAAAATTTATCTTACATGTATTTTATAGTTTTAAAAGAATGAAATTATGACCCACAGTATGTACAGCATGTGTGTGCATGTCTGCATTACAAAATATTAAATCTTAAAATCTGAAATTTTAAGATTTAAGCACACATTTTTGGATTCAGATCAATTTCTTATACCTTTTGGTCTTTTTCTCTCATCTCTTCTCTTGGTCATTCACAGCTTCTTGAAGCCAGTCCTGGCAAGCCTGGGAGCTGTGTGTCTCCAAATGGCCCATTCACACCCCCCTCTCTACCATATTATGCATTAATTTTAGATTTTGATTTCAACATGTGAACAATATAATTATGTCGGCTATTTTAAGGTTATTTTGAATTCGGAACTGATACAAACATAAACCCTTGGCAAATCCTAAACATGATAAAGACTGAGTCTCCACCATCAACTCAAAATCCTCATCCACAGAGAGAATCACGTATGAGATTTTTTCTTGAATTCTTCCAGAAAAATCTATGAAAGGATTAAATGGGTAATATATACCTTTGGGGGTGGGGGGAGTAAGGCTGGGGGGCATACACTCTGCATTTTACTTTTGAATTTTTCTACTTAATCATGTTTCCTACATATACTTCTATGTCAGCAGATGCAAATGAAGTCCCTTTTAGAAGAGTTAATTGCATGCTTCATATAAATCTACCGCAACTGATTTAACCAGCCTCCTGCTGAGAGGCCATTAAACAGCTCCCTGATATTTGCTATTGCTTGCCACGCTAGAATGAGCATTGCTGACAGTGTGTGCTGGGCATGTGTGGGTCCTCGGGAGGTGCTACTGGATCTAAGGGCGTCTGTGCCGATAGTGTGTCACAAACCCCACACCGCCACGCACAGTCCTCTGGGGGTCTACATCATCTGCGTCTATCCCTGTCATTTCTCTTTGCTCTTGTTTAATTCTATTCATTTCCATTAAAATTTGCTTTGTTTTCGGGATAAAACTCATGCCCCCAGCTTTTCAGTAGTATTCAGTCTCTTTTAGGTGGCTTCTAACCTGTTATTCCCTGTGCACACTATGATGATCGATATATACATACATAGATACTGTGACAAGGGACTGATGGGAATCTTGCTCCTTTTTCTTGTCTCTCACACTGACCCTTAGCTCAGGTCTGGCACCCCTACTTCCTGCCATGCCCTGGGCCTCCTGTCAGAGGCAGGGTGAGTGCCTGGGGCTGGCCCATTAGGTAGGCACGCTCCTCCAGTCTCTCCATAGTGTGGAAATCGGGGTGAGCCCCATCCAGCCACTCACTAGGTAGACCTTCAGGATGCACCATCTATTTCTGAGGGTGCTGGACATTCTCAGAGACCTGAGCACTTGGAAATCTATCCTTGGCATCCCTTCTACTGAGTCCCGGTTTCAGTGTTTTCCAGTTGGTAAGCACAGATTCTATGTACACTGTGGCTCATTTTGTAAGAGAATGACACTTTATCTTTTTTTTCCCCTTCTTTTAGTGCCTTTTTATTTATTTGAGGGTTCAGAGAAAGGTTCTAAGAAATTCCACAAAAATCAACCTGTTCAAACCATATTTTCCAAAGTATTAAATGAAGAAATTCCATTCATGCGTTTCTTCTTTTAAAAATCATCATTTAGTGCCTTGATTCCCCACTGTTCCAAGGAACATGGTTTGGAAGATACTTTTTGGAGTAAATCTGAGGGCATGATAAGTTGGAGTATTTCTATTTTATAAACAATAGAATCAAAGCATTAATAAGAACATTTTTACATAGCTATTTTTAAATAGTTAAATTGCTTATTGAAACCCATCCATAATAAAATAAACATACATTGTTTTTTAAGTTTTTATGACCTGCTGCTGTGAATATTGGCTAAATAACTCCTACCTTGTAGTAGTTTTCATCAGCACGAAGTGCTTTGGAAAGTCCAAAATCACTGATCTTGGCATAATGTTGAGTAACTAGCAAAACATTCCTTGCAGCCAGATCTCTGTGCACAAAATTGCACTCCTCCAAGTATTTCATTCCCATAGAAACCTGATGAACCAGCTCTATGATGTTCTTATCCTTGACATGCCTGAAAGTCACAATGTGTCATTAGTTATTGGACAGAAGTCCATTCCAGAACAATCAACCAACTTCTCTTGCAGACAGAAAATGCATCATCTACTCCTTTCCTGTTCTTAAATGGTATTCATGACTGGTGGCAAGTAACCTTGTTAACCTGTAGCTGCTCAAGACTGAACACCATTCTTCTAGTGTTCAAATGGTGTGACTATCAAGGCAAGTAGAGTAGCAGATGGGGATGTCAGAGCCTGGCTTTAGTTCAAACGCTTCTTTCAATACTGACTGTCAGTTTTGCACCTGTAAAGGTACATGTGTGTGGGGGAGAGGTGACAACACCTCCTTCTGCAGAGACTGATGACCCAGTCTAAGTCAAGTACAAACAGTGTGGCAAATGGGATGCTTTACACAGTGACGATTGTCTTGACTTTTCCCAGTGTGATTTTTCCCCTCTTGACAAGGGGTGAGGGTGAGCACAGTGTGACTACACCATCAGTGGTTGTGATCAATGAGCAGCAGTGGGTATTTCAAAAGTAATTATGGGAACATAGAGCTCTGACAGTCATATAAGACACCACTGCTGCCCCTTATAAAGTGTTTCTTTAATTATTAAAAAGAGCGTAAGGAGAGATTGCTTGTTAAGATATTCTTGACTGCTATCGCCTAATCAATACAGAGTGAGCAAAAGGAAAGAATGCGAACCAAATTGTTGGATTAGAGCATTCAGAGATAGAAGAGCTTTTGGCCTAAAGTCTATGACTGTCTTCCCTTCTCCTTCCAGGTCCCAAGAGTAGATGAACACTGGGAAGATGTGGGAGGTGAAAAGGCTTGCTAGAGAAGTCAGGCTACTGTGGGGGTCAGGCGGGGATCCAGCCACTCAGCATAAGCTTCTGAGCTACCTAGAGGTACCTGTTCTGCTGTAAGTATTTATTGAGGGGACCGAGTTCTGCCATCTCCATCACCAGCATCCAGGACTCGGCTTCGCAAATCCCAATCATGCGCACAATGTACGGGTTGTCCAGCTGCTGCATGACATTGGCTTCTGCTAGTAACTCGTCTTTAAGAGCAGGGTCATTGGCCTCATTTTTCAGAATTTTCACAGCCACTGTTTTTACGACTCTGTAAAAGAAATCAGAATATGTAAGAAACTTTCAAACTGGTTCACTTCCAGATAATTATCTCCCACAAAAAATAATTCCTCTGCACAAAATGGTGTTTTGGAAATACCTGTAACAGACTGGAAATGCATCTTAAGGGGCCATATCACAAACTTTCTAACATGTTCTCTCATTATATAGACAAAGATCAACACCTCCTTAGGTAAAATTAATAGGAGTTGTGTTGAATAATGCCCCAATCAATGGAAAAGCCTAAATTGCAGAATATTTAAATAGCCTTTAAGCAAAACTTACATACATAGATTTCTGCAACTTCTTGCAATTTACCACCTCAGATTAGGTGCAATGTATGTGAATATCAGTATTCTTTAATGTATGTGAGAAATCATGATTAAAAACAATTTTCTCAGAGAAGTGAAAATAGAGGGAAACTTCCTTAACCCGAGAAAGAGCAACTAGAAACCTATAGCTAACATCATACTTAATGGTGAAAATTTAAAGTTTTCCCCCAGAAATAAGGAACAAGAAATGAGGCTACCATCACTTTTATTCAATATTTAACTGCAGTTACTGGCTCATACGATAAGACAAGGGAAAAGATGGAAAAGTGTGAGAATTAGACATGATGCAATAAAACTGTCCTTATTTATAGAGGACTTATTTCTGGGTCAAGAATATATAAACTTGTAGAAACAATAAGAGAAAAATAATAGGAGAATTCAACAAGGTTATTGGGTATAGATCAATAGACAAAATTAGCAATGTCAGAGAATAGAAAATAAAATTTTAAAAAGATAACATACACATTGAAAATATTAAGTATCTACAAATGAATCCAACAAAAGAACTTGTATAAACCTCTACACACAAAAATAAACAACTCTGCTAAGAGAAACTCATGGTAAAAATAACCCAAGCAGAAGACTTGATACTGTAAAGACATCATTCTGCCCCAAATTAACCTGTAGGGCCTCTCATCTCTCCAAATCCTCTAGTTGAAATTATATATCTATAGTCAAATCCATGTTAATTCACACAACTAATTAAATGAGGAATTTAAGTATAGTAAGCTAGTTGAAAAAAATGTTGCATTTAGACAGGAAAATTTATGTTCATTTAAAAGTGATTGTGATAGGGCCTCCCCGGTGGCGCAGCGGTTGAGCGCTGGGTTGCGAAGCTGCCCGCGGCCTCTGCGGCGCCGGTTCGATCCCCGGCTGCTCCCCGGCCACCGGAGGAGGGTCCCACATGGTGTGCAGACTTCTCCTGCCGCCCGCTGCTCCCCTCAGCAGTGTACTTCGGTCCTTCTGCCTGCTCTGCTCCCCGCTCTGGCTCTGGTGAATTCTCTCACCCTCCCGCGCTTCTGACTGTACCCAGTGCATGTATAAACAAAACAAACAAACCAGCAAACAAATAAATAAAGCATGCCTCTATAAAAAAAAAAAAAAAAAAAAAAAAAAAAAAAATAAAAGTGATTGTGATATACTTACATATATTTTAAAATAAGCATACCTGTCAATTTAGTGTATGTACATATATGTATACACATATATAGATGAGGCAGTATCAAAAGCAGGAGTTTTTGTGCTTAACTTTGGTCTATATTCTTAATCCACAAATTATGTAAATTAGCTACTGTGGAAAAAAATTCTTATAAATGTTGCTCATATTAAAATTGCATGAAACAACTAAACCTCAAATATTCATATTAGTAACATGGTAAATAATGCATATTTAGAAAGTTTGTTTCAATGACCTTTAGAAACCAATATTTTTATTGAACATTCTATGTAAAGAACAAATGAAGTACTAAGAAATTAATAATTTAGCAATTCCTATATTTGTATAATATGTATTATTATTTGAAATTATAGGGTAACGCAAATATTTACACTGATGTATTTGGAATCAGAATTTCCTGGGTTAGAGAAATGAGACAATAAAAAAGTCAAAGAAAAGTGCAAACTGTTGTTATCAGTGGATGATTGTATTTTTTAATTAACTATACAGATGTGTGTGTGCATATAAACATGTCAAAATACATACACTAATATTAGGTAATAGAGTAGTATGTGAGTGGTACAGCTATAATTTTCAATTTCTTACCTTTTGCTTGTTTCTATTTTTTAATTCTCTATAAGGTGCATGTACCAGAGCTAACCTAAAATAGATAATTTTATATATATATTTAATAGCCATAATAGATGATTTCATTATATTGTTCCAGAAATGAACAGAAATTATAGTGTTAATAAAAAAGAATTTTCCATGCTAGGCAACATTTGGTATCTGGGACTAAATATACATAATACATGTATATATAGCAGTCACATCTGAGCAAGCATAGTGTGATACAAAGCAACTTACTTCTTCATCTGGTAGTAGCCCTTCTTCACAGTCCCAAAATTACCAGAGCCCAGCTCCTTATCCTCCAGGGTCAGCAGCTTCCGGTCCAGGTAGACCTCCTTGGGCCTGATCTCCTCAGGGTCTGCATAGGGGCTTTCGTACACCTCAGTGTCCATGGGCAAGGCTTCTCTCTGGACCTCTGTAACGCAGTCAAGAAAGAGCGTGGAGCTGCATCCTCCTGAAGTCTCTTCATTTCCTGCTCCTGCCTCCTGTGGTCACACCTTGCCTTCCTAAAACCTAGGTCACCTTGAGCAGTGATGGTGCCCTGAGTACTCAACGCAAGATCTCTCCCAACTCATGGGGGCAGTAAAACCCCTCATCCCTGTGGTGCCTGACCCCCATTCTTATGCATTGAAAATCCTAAGGCCATAGTAGCTTTAAGCTCTACCTGAAAATTCTCGGACATTCTTCCCCAGGAGAGGCAGTGTTTAGGCCACCTCCCACAGTGAGTTTTGAAATGATGTTAACCAACAGAGTAGCTCATAAATGATGCCCTGATATACTCTGGCGAGCCTGGAAAAGCTCTGGACCTGTTGTTTTGTTTACTGGGAACCTGGCTTTTGCAGCAAGGCTGTGCTGACATGGATGTCCGTCCACGAAAACAGCATTTAGAGAGACCCTAGACTTAGGGGACACAGAGGGCACTGGCTGCCTCCACTGCCTACTCCAGCTGCACTGTGGCCTCGGCTGCAGCCCGCCCAGGCCCATGTGACTATGAGAGACCCTTACCCACAACCGCCCACCCAGCTGAGCCCTGGCCAAATTCCAGGCCCGCACAAGATGATTAAACAGAGGTAGCTAACTGTTTATTATTGTTTTAAGTTGCTAAATTTTAGAATGATTTTTTGCAGCAATAAACAGATCAAGTTTGGCAATAAAAAAATAACCTGGGGCCATCGAAAGAATCTTGAAGGTCACCCCGAGGTCACATCTCTGAGAGCAAGTCTAGAAATGGTTACTGGGTTCACTGAGGACATAGCTTCCTTGGCCTCTCAGGGTATAAGTCAAGTCCTCACACACACCTAGAATTCTAGCAACTCAGACATCCCTTTAACCTCCCCAGCCAATCTAGCACTGCACCCTATGCTGGGACTTAGTACTGGACACAAAGATGCTTCCAGGAACACAACCTTCAGGGAGATAATTGCTTTGAGTCATAACGGTACTATAGTAAAGTAGTGCTGGGGACATCGGCCGCCTCCACTGCCCGGAGGCAGCTGTGGGTAAGAGCATTTTAAGTGTGGCCCCTTTATCGTGAGGGAGGCCTGCAGGGCATCCCACCCAACAACGCCACCATCCACAGGCCACGATGCCTGCTACCTACCACCACACAGCAGTGGTATCACTGCCAACCGCACTGTGCTCTAATTGCTGGCAGTGGGGAGAAGAGGCGAGCAAGCTGCAATTTCCAAGTGCCCCTGGGAACCATCCCTGCACCAGGTGTCCAGTGACTGAAAACTCTCACCTCGTTCCGCAGCCCAGGGCCCTCGGTCTGGCTCGTAGGGGTTGAAAGTGCTCTCCGGTCGGTTCCCGGGGGATGGGGGCTGAGGCACACAAGCAGACACAGGTCACTCCATTATTAATACAATGTTGAGATTATCTGCATAATTATTTTAATTTTGAAGTAATTATAGTGTGATTTTATGCAGGAAAACAAGGGAAAGAATTCAGAGGGCAGGAAAAATAGCAACACGGCTTATCTCATTCTTCGGGCAACTGCTTGGGCCTTGTAAGGGCTGCAGAAAGGTCAGGCTCCCCCAGCTCAAGGGACCTCAAGCATCTCGGAGGAGGGTGTGTAAGAGAATGAACCCACTGTTTAGGTGGAATTCCTCCCTCGGTATCATTCCCTTCTACCAAAGGATGCTGAGAGTTTCCATTATTCCCTTGGACCCATATTCCTCCATTAACTTTTTCTCTCCAATTTTATACTATATGGGAGTTATATTGGGTTGTTGGAAAAGTCATAACACATTTTTGCTTGAAAAACACAGAAAAAAATACGTCATGACTTTTCCGATAGCCCAATAGAAAAAGAAGATATAGATCCACCAGTGTTTCCATCCACTCCCAAATTCCATGCATTTCTATGTGCTGCCTGTATCTTTAATAGAGGGGGAGACTTAACAACATGTGGGTGGATGCCCAGGGCATACTGGCCGGGCAGCTCAAGTCCCCTATTGGAAGGCAGCTGATACCAGGCCAGGGTGCAGTGTCACTGCTCAATATCGTTATCATCACCATCACCATGGTCATCATCACGGCCCCCGTATGGTGGGGAAGCCTGACATTGCCAGTCCAAAGGAAGGTAATTAATTCTTCCTAATATCTGGAGCAGGAAACTAAAGCACATTAAAACAAAGCTTTGCTGGTCATTATTTATGGCCACTTTCCCAATTATTATTTGATTAACATCAACTTGCATCATGTAATAATGGGGAAAGCGCCTACTCCCTACAGTCCTATAACTTTCCCTTTTTAAGTCTCTTTCTCAAGTCTTCCTGATCTACAACCCTCATCCCCAACTGAAAACAAGCTTATTGCTCCTAAAAAGTTAGTCCATGGGAAAAAAAGTGTAATTTAAACAATTTTTTCTTTTTTTTTTTGGTGAGAGCTGAAGAGAAACTCGCTATTTCCATTTACTTCTCAAAGCCCAAACACTGGCCACAAAAAAATGAGATACTGCCAGAGCAGGGAGAAACTGAAAGAAACAGAGACAATAAGTTCACGATTATGTGGTCACTTCATTTCCAGCACACAAAGAGCCCTCGTCTGCCCTCCTGGTAGACACCACAGCCTGGGAAGCAGAGCACCATGAAGAAGGCCCAGGTGCCGCTCGGTCACTCGTCTCCAAAACCTTGGCTTCCTAACAACATCTACTGAGGACCACAGAGCCCGGCTCACAGGGCAAAGACCCTCTGATGAGGGGCACTGATGGGATGTCCTTGGATTCATTTCCTCACAGACTACCTCAGCGTCGCAATGACGTATAAAGAATGAAAACAGAAAAGCCCACGGCACCGTCATCTATCCACTACTAGAGCTTTGCAGCGCCCGCTGTTGGTGAGCAATAAAAGTGAGTAAAGAAAATGATGCATGAAAGAAGGAATGAAACTCATAAACTGGAAGAATGAAGGATAAACTAATGTAACTGGACAGTGTATTCTCTTTCGTGTCTTATGCTATTGGGGGAACAGGTGTGGATAATCCCAAAAGACTTCTCTGAGACCTTCACATATGATTACAGATCACAAAATGGGGACAGGCTGCGAGTTCCCTTTTCACTCTTATATAATTACGCTGTCTGGAGAGGGCTGTCCTAGGAGAAACCAGGTCATTACCAAGGTTTTTCATCCCAAGTTCTGCTCACTTTTCTTCTGCAATCGAACTCCAGGAGGAAAAACAATTTTCAAATTAAAAATCAACTCTCAGATTTACTATCATTTCAAGTTCTCCAATTCTCCCCATACCAGCAAATTTCTAAGATTCAGTCAAAACTTCCAGATGCCAGGACCAGACTTCATGAACAAGCAGAGTGCATGAACCTTCTCTTGACCTTCAGCCCTTGGCACACTTAGGACCTTGGTCTGGGGCTGCCACCTCTCCACTCCCATAGAGAGGTCCCAAAGCAGGAGACCTGCCATTACCTGGCACATGAGGAAGAATTTTCAGAGGTGGGGGTATAAAAATAACTAGAAGGGATACAAGAGCGTCCAGAATAAGAACTAGCAGCAATAGACACGCAAATGTAAGTGTGGACAGTGTTGTTTACTGAGCAGCAGGGTGGGCTTACCCCGTCTATCCTGGCTATGGACCAGGGGACAGATCAGAGGTCTCCTTTGGAAGGTCAGGCCCCATAAATTCAGCTGTGCTGTCACAGGGCTTCATTTCCACACAGCCCTCACAGAACCTGTGATTGTGAGCCTCCGAGCTCTGCCCCCACCCATACCCCACAACAACCATATCCATGCTCTGCCCCTTCTGCCCTCAGAAGATAACAGGTGGCATTACACTGTCACTCAGAAGAAAGTTCTAGAAAAAATGGGAAGCCTGCCATTGTGTCAGTTAAAAGGACAGTGGTATTCTATGATGAAGGTGAAGATACAAACCACAAACTTCATCTTTCTCAAAATGCTCAATGATTATGCCATTTAGAAGAACAAATTGTAAAAAATGAGCTCTAAGAGAATGATAAATTACCATAGGTTTGATTATTGCTTAAATTTAGTACAATTTAATGTGCTGGTCCACATTATCCTTTGCCATTACTCTTTATACTTTGTATTTATGATTTGCTCTGCCTTCATGGGTATGATCTTTTTTACACTAAGAACAAGGTGTACATAAAATGTTGATGGTTCCTTTTTCCCCATGTTTGCTAATGTTCAGAACAGAGGTTAAAACTGCAGACACCACTAGATGGCACTAGCTACCCTAACTTTCTATTTTCTAAAAGGGTAATACATGATTTTTCCATAAATGTGATAAATTCAGGTAAAAACAGAGCACAATGGACTATGCTAGTGAACTGTTTGTGTTTTCATGGTGGGTGTGGTGTTGTAACGACAACTGAGGGGGGAGAATCCTCTAAAATACAGGCAACACTGCAAACCAATGTTACTCAATAAAAATAAAGTTAATTTACTTCTGGGAAGAGAAGTGATGCAAATCAAATAAAAGAAAATTAAAACCAATCTTTCCATGATAATGAAAAGAAAATCATGTCCCTGATCTCTTATTGGCCAGGGTTAACTGCAAATAGAAAATGTATTTGACAAATATTCTAAAGAGTGCATGCCTGTATTTAAGAACTGGGGGACTCAGAAATGATCAAAAGAGAAAGAAATTACTGCTTTTAAGGAGCTGACAGGCTAATTCAGAGTTTTCTGATTAGGCAGAGCTGCTGCATCTCCTAATATCCATTTCCTAAACCTTAATTTTTACTCCCAGACTTCCTGAAAGACATTTTCTAATTAGGCAGCAACACACTGTCACAGTGGCCATGACAGAAGAGTCAGCAGGCTTCAGAAACATTGTGTGTCACTAGCCCTGCAAGGTTCTGGTCTGTGAGCCCGAAGGGCAGTAGTCAGGGCCAAGACAGACAGCATTGGTCAGGGCACAGGATAATATGAGCTCTGCTTCAGTTGCTCACCTTAGGAACAAAGATCTAAGATCTGGTGCTTTATAATGAGGTGGAAGCCCATTTTCTCATGGGTCTGGCCCAGACTACAAAAGTTACTAAGTAAAGAGGCATAACCTACAATTTTTCTTCAATCTCTTCTCAGGCTAACCCTGGTAAACTGTGTATTTAAATATGTCTTTATGTATTCCAATTAACGGCATATGTGTTGGAATAAAACATGAAAATGGGTTTCATTTGGAATTCTGGAACACATTTCCACAACTAAGATAAATAAGTCTTAGAGAAGTTGGCTTTGAAATATGAAACTTTCACTTGTCAAGGATGCTGTTCAAACTCTGCCAATTTTCTATAATAAAAGGGTAGAGTTATGTACTTGAGAAACATTCCATTACTGATAAAAGCCGGTTTCATTAATTTGAGGATTACCAGTCGTTAAAGCAAGTGTGTGGGGTGGAGGGGGAAGGAAGTATCTCACTTGCTATTTTTAGTTAAATTCACTTATATTCTTAAGTATTAAAATGTTACAAATTTCTATAAAAAGGCTTAAAATACACCTACCCTTGAATTTTATTATGAAATTTCAAAGTACCTGATTAGCAATCTTCCAATCAAAACATACTTTTCACTAAGTATCTATACGCTACAGTTAATTCAACTTCTAACACGACTTTTTTATGCTTGAATTTTTAAAAGCAACTACTTACGCTAATCAAGTTAACAAATTCAAGAAAGTTATTTATACTCTGGTTAAATAGATGGAATATTTCATGTAATTCCCCTAAGCCTTTTCTTATGTTTGGTTAAATAAAAGAAAATTAGTTCTCCATATATTTGTGAAAACATAAATATTAGTCCTCCTAAGATACTTCTGATGAGCAATTAAAACATTTTTAATCCATAGCTCAAATCACCCCTATCCTGCTTTCCTATTAAATTTTGGCATTTGTGACAATTCAGTGCATATTTCAATTATTATAAATTTAAACAGAATACAGCCAAACAGTATTGTCACAGTGTTACTTGGATTCTTTCTAGTATTTAATTCTTTAAAAAAATGATTAATTTTAATATGTGCAAATTTAAAAAGATATAACAGGACTTACAATGAAAAGTTGGTGTTCTTGACACCTGTTTTCTACTTCCAAGGCAACCAATATGTCCTATATTCTGGAAGAATATCTTATATTATATTAGCACATCTGCATACATATGTCTTTATCTTTGGCGATTAAAACTAAATTCTGGAAGCAATTATAGATTGCAACTGCTTCCCATTGTATTCATCTTTCTGTAATTGATTTTATTTCCCATTGACAGATTTTTAAATTATTTCCAAGCTTTGTGAGTTATACAATGTTGTAGTAAATATCTTCATATAGACCCGATTACACATAAAAGAACTGTATGATAAATACCTAGGAATAAAAATTTCAGAGTTGTTATATGTGCCTTGAGTTTTGAGGGATGTTATGAAATTGCCTTTCTTAGAGATTATATCATTTCATACTTTTCATTGAATTGTGAAAGTGCTTATTCATGATACCCTTGCTGTCTACCATGTTGCCAAGCATTTTTATTTGATTCAGTTTCACTGCTAGACATTATAGGCCACCAGAGTTTTAACTTGCATTTCCGTTATTATGTTTTTCCTATCATTTAGTGCTATTTATACCCACTTTACTATAAACCTCTGCCCTGCCAGACAATTGAAATTTTTCTTACTGATTTATAAAATCTCTTTAATCTTATAGATGTGTGTGTGTGTGTATATATATATATATATATATAAAATCATTACCAATACTTAATCCAAGTTTTTTATTTTTCTTTTGATGTTATAGTTCTTATTCATGCAAATGCTTATTTTTTTGGTTGTTTTATTTACTGATATTTTCTTCAATATTCTTTACATTTGTTCTTTGTTAGTCTAAAGATCTTCTAAAATTTATCTTCTAGACATTCATTTGGTCACTGTGAATGACCTGAGTTTGTTTAAACCTGCTGGGGACAATGATGAGGCAGTGTCTGTCTCCTCACAATGCTGTTATTATTTCTTGGAGAGATGTTTTTGGGTAGTCTGAACCCAAATAATAATCTCAGTCATTGAATCAGGCTGTGATCTCAAGTACTACTGTACTTTCCTGATGGCCTGCCCTACAGACACTGCTAGCCAGCCCAGACACTTGCCTGTGTGTGTATATACATGAATATAGATGTAGGTATGTATCAATGTTTATGCACATGCATGGACACATGTGTCTCTTTTGTACATAAATCTTTGACTGGTCAAGCTCCCCTGCGTGACTCCTGGATGGGGTATGTGGAAATCACAGAATTAAGATCAATGTGCTATGTCTGCTTTGTAATAGTGAAAACGCTCATCTCTAGGAATGTGCCTGGACTAGGGGCTGTGACCTGGCACTCAGGCCTTGGGGATTATAATGAGAAAGATGAATGAAAAATCGCGGGAAAGAGGGCGCAGCCCACGGAGCTTCTCATGGCTGCTAGGCATCCGTTGTCTGTGGAGGGTCTGAAGAAGGGGGTGAGTAGGGGCCCTGCCTGCTGAGGAGGCCCCTGTGGGCATGGCTGCTGCCTGGATTGTGCTGTGTAGCTTTGTTAGTGCACTTTGCACTCAGTGCTCCAGTTCTGCCAGCTGAACTGCCAAGCCGCAGCAGTGACCAAGGACGCGAGTTGGATATGTAATAAGAAACCTCAAAAGATAGCCCATGGTAGAAAAACACCCTGAATCAGAATACAGCTTGAATCCCTCAGCTGCTGGGGAACCCTTTGGACTATTTTCCACTGGACTGCAGTCCTGCAAAATGCATCCTGGCCACCGAGTGAGCAGAAAGGGCAGTGCTGACTTTCATCCAGGACCAGAACATCTGTGAACATGGCCTTGCCTCAGCTTATGGGGAATGCAGACCCCTTCAAGGCTAGCACTCATTTACCTGTTGTCCCTGATGACTTGAAACAAACAAGTCACAGGGCAAAATGGACACTGACATTAAGAATACATTGCCTTGACAATCTGGCACAGGGAGCCCTCACTGTCACCCCCCCAAGTGTGACAACACCGTATAGATGATGTTTCCCCCAAGCTGATCCTTGCTGACCAGGAATATGACATGAAAATCGACATAATTATTCCACTGGGATTAGCACACAACGTTTCCCCTTAAGTCCCACGTTCAGCTCACTTCTCCCTTTTGTGGTCAACAAGGCTGAGACATCTTGAGTATGACCACCTACTTGGAAAATCATTACTAAATAACATCGCAGATTTCTCCTGCTTTTTATTTCCCTTGTTTCTAATAACTGATGTCCAATTCATCTGCTTTATTCAGTCTTCTTTTGCCACTGATGCCCGATTATATGATGGATGAATCTAAGTCATTAAAAAAGGACTTCTTTTCATTTCTCTCAACCTTATAGCAAAACAGAAAAATGCACCATCTGTGAAGCTTATTGTCTCAAAAGGAAAAACAGTATTACTAACCCTTAAATTCCTTCTCATCTTTACACACGTTCAGTTTACAGTCCGCGTGGGAAATCTACCGCCATACAGAAGTGACCGGGCACCTGATGTCTGTCTACAAAGTACACGGCCTTTGGCACTCAATGGGCAGGGCGCAGGAAGCCTCAGTACCTGCCATCAGCACTATATCATCGTCACCACAGCTCCGCAACATGTGGTTCTGACAATTCAACAGCAACTTGGCTCTCTTGGAAAAGACTCTACACGAAAGAATTGCTCCCACCCAGGACACGGCCACAACGACCCTCACTTCAGCTGAGAGCATGCTCATGGCCATGGACTATGCAGCAGAGTGACCGGGGCTCACACGGAAAACACAGGGAACAATGGGCAGTGGGGAGACACAGTGCAGAGAGGGGCTGGGCAGAGACATAGTGCAAAAGAGGGGCCGGCCAGCACACACGGAGACCGGGCAGGCTGAGTGTGGGTCTGTCCTACCGCATAGTCAGGGACAGCAAGCAGGGGACGCTTTAGCACCTTTCTTTGGCCAGGCTTGGGGAAGGAGTATGATTTGATTCTTGAGATTATTCCACCCGCTGTCCAGGCCTAGAAACCATAATGGCAAAAAGGAAGAGTAAGTGTTTCAGAAACAAACACAGTTACCTTATGTGGCTTGATTATAATCACATAACTCCCCCCCCCCAGCCCGAATCTGCCAATGGAATTTACTATGGGCTTCACAGGGGTGTTATGAATGCTGCAAAAATATTTGGGTGACACTTTCTACAGGGGGTTACAAAGTTAGAGCTGTTACATTAAATAACTTGTGTTTCATGTAGAATTATGTCACAAACTCCAGACAAATCATCCTAAAGGAATGAAATCTGACTGCCCAATTTTGTTATTTCTTAGGGTGCTGGTTCCATGCTGTTTGTGAAATATACTGAGAAGTTCACTTAGGACACCGGCATTATTTTCTTGAATGAATTTCACCAGTCAATGAAACATGTTTCCAAAATGTCTAACTTCTTGAAGTCCCTGCGTGGCTAAACATAAAGTTTAATACCCTTTTAAGTGTTCTCAACCACAAACCCTCACCTGTTTCAGAGGAGAATTGATCTGTCTCTGGAGCCTACAGCTTTAATGCAGACTGGCCAAGAGAAATATAAGTGATGTCTCTGTGACAGCGCTGCATTTTTGAAGTGGACTGCAGGTCCACTGGGGTTTTAGCAAATTCAAGTCCCCAAGAGTCTGGTGCCAAGGGCTGGCCCAGGGCCCGATTCAATGTGGCATAGCAGTTGGGGGTTGCTCAGGAGGCAAAAGGCACACTCCACTTTCTTTCTGCAGATTTTGTGTTTAAAGGCTCAACAGGCCAAAAGGGAGGTGCAGATGGCACAGCTGGTGATGGGGGAGCGTTACACCTCACAGACAGCATGAATGGACATCAGAGGCCAGATTGAAGTCCCTCCAAAAGGAGCAGGAAGCCAGTCTCACTTTGAGTATGTCCGCACCCAACTCCTAATAGTCTGGAGGGAGAGGAGAGAGGTGATTTATACCTCTTTAGGGGCATCAGGAAAGCACCCCTTTGGAGACATGTGGCCAAACCACATTCCCATGTCCTATTGACATGGAAGGGGTAGGGGGTGTCTGGTCACACCCCTAACTTCATCCTTTTTCAGGGGCTTCTCTCATGTGATGCCGAAAACCCCCATCCCTAGTCTTCCTCTGCTATGCTTTCACCAAAACAGCTCTCCCAGAAATGCCTGGGTCTTCTGATAGCAATGCCTGGGTTACTTTGGCCAAAAGTGTTGGGCTGACATAAGACGGCATCTTACAGACCAGACATGTGACACCAGCCACACAAGGGATGATGTGGCTCGTGCACATGGATCCACATAACCATTCACATGGAGACTGAACAGTAGGGTACCATGCTCCAGATTCACCAGGGGGAATATTTCTGATTTAACATTGGGTTTTAAAATATTTTGCATGCTTTCAGAAAATGGGGAGACTTTAACTTAGCCAAGAAGTTAACAAAACTTGGCTAGCGTGGAACTGAAAATAGTCTTATTTTAGCTGACATCATAATCTCACCTTATCAAGTGTAATTAAAAACAGCCATGACAACTACTCCTATTGGCTAACCCATGTATATGCTACATACAATTGCTTTACCTTCAGTGGTATTCTAATAACACTTACCGCAGGATGGGAGCTTGGGAGTTGGGGACGAGTTCCAAAATTAATATGTCCTGGTTAGAAAGAGAATGGACAATTAGTGCATTACCGCTATGTTGACGTTCACCCACCCCCACTGCAGTTCATCCCATGTGATTGTAAAATATCAGTGTTTCACACGTAGGTACTTTTTTTGCACATATCTTCTTGCATTCAAATTCTCATGTATGCAATTAAAACTCACACTTTTTTCAAGTTATGAGTTTACTTTTTGATTCACGGTATATATGAACAATGAAAGATTTGACATCATTTTAAATCAGGCAGTAAAAATAAGATCGTTCTCACCTGAGTTTGTAACAAACCAAATATCAAACAAGGCTGATGATTATCAATGGCTTAAAGACTGCAGTTCCCATTTCTTAGTGACTCACCTGCTTGCGCACCAATTTTTTGACATGGGACGGTGAGAACTCTCAACAAACCATCTGGTTTATAAGAATAATGCTCAACTAGCTGAAAGAGAAGAAAGCCAAAAGGTGTGATAAGTAACAAAGCAAGAAATAGCCTGGCCTAGAGCAGGTGATTATAAAAGTGATTCAAGGACAAATCTGTGCAACAGGACATGCTTCTTTGAGTGTTCTATCTGACCGCTTTCAGGCCTCTCCTCCCACCTTCAGACTTCACACCAAGATACATACACATCCTCTTCCCTTCAGGACTATATTTCCCTTTTGGCTCATCTCTTCCCTCCTTTGTCTTTTTTCTCTTGGGGGTAGCAAGTTGCATTTATTTGTTTATATTCTCCTACATCCACAGGATGTTGTACAAGTGAATTCAGCATGCTAACATTCATTCAACAAACATTCTGCTGTGTGTCAGGTCCTGAGATAGGACAAAAGGTAAATTAAGGTGACTGAGAACACTTCTCATCCTTGATAGAGAAGTGGATCACAACAAACAGAGGTTAATACTACAATAGTGCTGCCAGTCAAGGATTTGAAAGGCCCAAAGAATTCAGGCCAGAAGTTTTGGAGAGGAGATGCCACAGCACTGGTGACTAGGAGCTGGGACATGGGGGAAGCTGACCTTTTGGAGAATAGCCTTCTGGTGACAGTACACGGACATCCTTGTCTATCTGGCTCCCAGAAAACTGTGAATTACAATGTTCAGTTTCTCCATTAACTAGCAACAAGCAGATTTATTTATGTTTAATCAAAATTACACAATAAGAAGACGGTGTTTGTATTCTATTTTTTTTCTCAGATATTTCCTCTTTAAACAAGCTAAAATCTTCATATCTTTTACCTTTTCCTTCTATATTTACTGGTACCTCTTAACCAGTTAAAAACTACTTGCTCCTTATTCTTCTTTTCACTCAAAACTTGCCTACTTGGCTGAATGTTTGTTGAATGAATATGTTTTGTCCTTCCATATAACATCCTATTTTTTAGGATTTTATTTTATTGTGATAAGAACACTTAACATGAGATCTGTGCTCATATACATGCTTCAATCTGAACAGCCTAACATGCTACTGGAAGGGAAGCAAAGTTCTCCCTATTCTGGTAAATGTGGTGGTGTGTTCTTGGGTGAAGGCTACTAAGGTTCCTACAACAGGTGAGACCCCCCCTATCCATCTCTTCAATTATCATTCAACCATCTCCTTCAATGTTTCAGTTTTAAACAATCTGCAAAGGTGGCTGGGAAAGTGGATTTTCTTCTTAAGCAAGAGTCTTGCAAACATTTTTTAGAAAGTGCCAGACAGTAATAGAATAAGCTTTTTCAGGTCACATGCCATCTCTGTCACTTAGTCCTTTATTTATGTTTAAATAATCCATTAAATTTAAAAGCCATTTTACTCAAGATCTACATAAAAACAGTCAGGGGGTCAGTTTTGCCTGTGAGTTTGCTGAATCTACAGCAAGGGCACTAGAATAGAGTAACAATTACCAGCTCTCAGAAAAACAGCACTGACTCCTGGGCAGGCAGAGCACACAGGTTCTATGCCTTATTTCCAGGAAAAAACAATGGAATCATGTGTCAAAATGGGCGATATTGCTGGCATTTCTGATGCTCTTTAAAAAAAAAAAAACCCACAGATTAAAAAGATTTAATTAGGGCTGAAAACTGTGATAAGCCAGAGCAATAAATAACTTTGGGAAAGTCTTGGGAAGGAACTTCACAACAACTAGAGAGGGCTAGTAGGATGGTGGGTGCACAGACTTTGAAACTGTAAATGGCCATTCAGGAGAAGCCAAAATGGCTGTGCACCTGAAGTTCATGGTTTCTAGTGCTGCCCTGGCTGATGGATGCTGAGAACCTTTAAACACATGCCTGCAAGGATTCTTGTAGGAGATTTTGATGGGAAATTAATGCCTGAAGGCAATATTCTTATTCATTGCTGTGATTTGCACTGGGCAATAGTACTGATAGGCTATCAATACCTCTAAAATAAAGCAAAATGGTCAATAATGCTGATGAGCCAAAAGATGAAAAACGAAGCCAGTGTTATGACTAATATGAATAAAGACCCATCATTCAGAAAAGGAGTATTGTTTTTCAAATGTGGCATTAAGAATCTAAATACAACAGGTGGACATTACTTTTCATGCTTTGGTAATAAGGATTGCTGGTCTCAACTTTTTAAACAGGGCTTTTGAGTTGGGTTCTTGCAGGTTGACAACCATGGTTGTCACTCTTGGTGGTGGAGCCCTAGCGGTCACAGTCATTTCCTTCAGGGTCAGCTCACGTGGCTGTCATCTAAAGACAAACTGTTCATGTCCAGAGCAGGCCAATAGAAAGCAGGGATGGGCATCAGATTAGGACTCATCAGTGCCTAAGGAACTCCCAAATTGGAAACTGTTTCTGGTTCACTAGCAGTTGGGTCAAGAGTAAGTCCTTGGGGCCTCCCCGATGGTGCAGAGGATTGAGTGCAGCGCTTTGAAGCTGTCCATGGCTTCTGAAACAGCGGTTCAATTCCCAGCTGGTCAGGGAGATGCCCACATGGTGCGACTGACCTCTGCTGCCTCGCCCACTGCTACCCTCAGCAGTGTCTTCGGTCCGTCTGCTCCCTGCTCTGTCTCTGGTGAATTCTCTCACCCTCCCGCGCCTCTGACCTATACCCCAGTGCTTGTATAAATAAATAAATCTTAAAAAAAAAAAAAAAGAATAAGCCCTTGGTAGAGCAGGGTTGAAGTGCCTGCACAAGTGTGTCTGGGCAATGCTGACTCACATTATAAGTTGGCTTAATTTTCAGGGAGACTCATTCTGCAGTGAGAATGGAACCTGAATTGTAGATTAAGTTCTGCCTCAACTCACAGGAGTGGCTAACTGTCTCCCGGTCACCTTCCCAGCCCTCCACACCTTAATTTTGTGTGCAGTTGTCTGAAAAGTAGCTCAGGGGCCCAGTTAGAGGTCTTAGAGAGATACTTTCTAGACCCCATTGCAGGGTCTCCTGTTAAAGGCTGATCACATTCTTGAACTGCACTGCCTTGGGGAGCCCATGCTGAGTGATCCTGGGCAGGAATCTTCCAGAGCCTCACTCACTGGACCATCCTTTCTCACATTTGGTGTGAGGCACCTGGAGGTTGAGGGGGCTGGGCATGTTCTAACAAGCTCCAGGCTTGGAGGACCCTGCTTACCTGCCAGAGCGTGTCAAACTTCTTTCCATCGGGGATGGAGAGCTTCCCCGTTTTGTCCTTATCGATGCGGTAGTGCAGCACCTTCCCTTCATGCAGTAGGCACAGAGCGTAGGACCCGTTGTTGTCCCTGGCCCTGATCCTGGAAGAGAGAAGGCAGCCTTGTGAGTCCCGCTCCTGCAGGGCGCATGCCCTGGGTGGGCAGCCTGGGCTGTGTCCACTGTGCCCAGCTCACAGCTCAGCAGGGATGGAGAGTCAGAGACAAGAACATGCGGTGGCTGGGGATGGGTGGCCTGGCTGGGGGCAGAGGGGGGTGGCGCACATATCTGCTCCCTCCTCCTGGTGGCAAGTGGCCATGTCTGTGAAGGCTTTAGAGCTGTGGTCACACTTTCCTCGGCCTTGTAGTTCATCTCAGAAACAAAGACTGGCGAGCTATGTTGTGTGGGGTAGAACTTTGCTTCAAAAATAAATGTCTTTAAGTTGTGCTTGGCTGTGCATGATGATCCAGTCTCTTCCATAGTCTACTGCTCATGGCAGCTGGGGTGGGAGAAGACGCCCAGGCCCTTGGCAGTCTTGGAAGTGCCTCCACTGCCCCCTCCTAACCCAACCCAACCAGGTCACCAGCACCCCAAGCCTGAGTTCCCTTTTCATAGTCACATGGCCAATTAAGGCCAGTTAGCAGCTGTCAAACTAGGAAAAAGAGAAGACAACACACACACAAAAGCTAAAATGTTTTTTTATCTGGGGAGAAATGAGTCCATTGTATAGGGAAGCTGTTTTATAATGTGGGGTTATTTATGAATGCTTTGTTTATGAGATTGGTGGTGAACAAATAGGGCTGTTGGAGCTACAGAGAACTGCACAAGTTCTTAACACCAGGCACTAAGAATTTATGCATAAGGAAAAGGAGCAGGTGGGCATATGATGTCCATGAGGCCGTGCCAACCTGTCATTCTCCTTGAGTTAGCCTCCTTCACATCTTCAACCTCAGGTTGTAGAGACAATAAAGAGGATCTGAACAAGGTTTTCTGGATTCGTGTCCAACACCCACACACATCTGGCCTTGTGCCTTAATTGACTTTTTCTTGTCAAACCTGGCATGGAGGATTGAAGGTTATCAAGGGGAGTGGTGCAATCAGCTCATTAGGAATCTGGGACATGCAAATTAGAATGGAAATACTATTTCACACCCTACAGATGGGCAAAAATTAAATAGACTGATGATAATGGCAAATGTTGCTGGAATGTGCAACTGATTCTCAAAAACTGCATGCACGCCGGCACTTCAGGAATGACCTGGGCTTTCTACTAAAACTAAACCTACACATCCCTTGAGTGCCAAAAAGCTGCTTCTAGGTTTACAAAATCCATGCATTCTGAGCCTAGAAGGTTCACTGGGGCGTTTATAGCAGTCTTTTCTGTGATTACTGAAAAATGTAAACAGCCTAAATGCTCACGGGCCACAGAGTGAGGAAATCCTCTGTCGGGTAATTGTTAACATGATGGAATGTCGAGAACCATACAGTGAACCAGTGGCAGTGAACACACAGCACTCCAGGAGCATAAAACACACGCCACCATTCCACACACACAAATGCCACAAACAGGCCAAAGCAGGCAGTTTCGCTTAGAGATGGACACCCAGGTCCTCGGTGGTAGAACTGAAAAGAAAAGACAGAAACAGATCGAGGCTAAGCTGGACACAGGCTCCAGGGAGTGGCATCCTCAAGCGCAGATGGGTGAGTGGGGAGGACATGTGCTTTCCTGACACCGGCGCTGTGTGCTTTGTGATTACTCATCCAACTGCACATGAAGAGCAGTGGGTCCTTTCCTGTGCTTTACATGTCACACACAAAAAGCATAAAAAAACAGCTGGTGGAAAGCAGAACTAGAGAGTTCCTGCTTCTGAATACACGTCTTCAGAATGCACACAGATCCTTGAGGAGAAACTCTTCTCCGGGGCTCCAGCCAGGTGTCAGGGCCTGGGACACTGGCAGCAACAGCTACCAATGATCATGCTCTAAAGACCCACAGGCGCAGGGATGAGGTCTTGGACATGCTGCCTGTGCCGCCCTGAGGCAGCTGGCAGGAAACGAGGGCAGAGAAGGGAAACCCACAGGCCCTACATCTGTAGGTGGCGAAGACCAGAGGCTTGGTGACACTAACGGCCGGCAACTGTGGGGTATCCTCTGGCTGCAGGCAGATCCTGGGCTCGGCTATTTTTTAATAGTTTTTTTTTTTAATAGTTTTTTTTTTTCATAGAGGCATGTTTTTATTTATTTATTTATTATATTTGTTTGTTTGTTTTGTTTATACATGCACTGGGTACAGTCAGAAGCGCGGGAGGGTGAGAGAATTCACCAGAGCCAGAGCGGGGAGCAGAGCAGGCAGAAGGACCGAAGTACACTGCTGAGGGGAGCAGCGGGCGACAGGAGAGGTCTGCGCGCCATGTGGGACCCTCCTCCGGTGGCCGGGGAGCAGCCGGGGATCGAACCGGCGCCGCAGAGGCGGCGGGCAGCTTCGCAACCCAGCGCTCAACTGCTGCGCCACCGGGGAGGCCCTGGGCTCGGCTATTTTTAATTGAACACATGGGAAACCCTCCTCTTGTTCCCGCCTGTTACCAAAAAGCCTCAGATTGGCAAATTGTTCAGATGCTCAGGGAGGGCAGGGCAAAGACTACTCTTGTGGCCCCTGTTGGTTTGCTGCCTTCCACACTTGGGGTTAATTGGTCACAGGAGTGTTTACAGAAGCCCTAGAATATTTTTCCCAGTGAGCTTCTTGAAAGAAGCAAGCTCCCAACACATTGGTGTTTGGCTATCACAGAGTGAGATCTCAGTGACTTGAATGGAGCTAGGCTGAGAAGTTGGTCTAACTGGTTCTGGTTCTTTATGCCCAGTGGCAAGGTGACTGGCAGAGGCCAAAGGGTAGGAGGGCCACCTCCCCTCCTGGGGTAGACAACCGGAGGAGGTTTTGCATCTCACAAATGCCAAAGTTCTTTTTGCACAGGTGAGTTGGGTGAGGAGAGTATTAGTTCTACCAGGCACAGCCTCAGGTTGGTGAGCTTGCCCTTCTCCACCCTCCTTCTCCACCCTCCTTGCCCTTCTGGATCAGAGATAGTGTGCTGTGGTCATATGGAAGCTGAGGGGAAGTGAGGGCCCCGGAGGTGCTGGGAACCTCACGGCAGCCCTTCCCCTGTGACACCACATTGCATCTGCTGCAAGAAAGAAAGAGCACCTCTCCTGCCAGGCCTCCTCTTCTGTGCATGTTTTTCCATGGCAAAGCAGAACATGGATGGCTTGGGGGGAAGGACGAAGTCACTGTGATTAGTGAGGCCTGCAAATAGACAGGGAAGGGCTCCCATGGCCGGCCTGCAGCATCCTGGCAGTACCAGTGGTCACACACTGACACCTGGACCCTGCTAGTCCTCTCTCAGAAGCATCTTCAAAGTGGTTAAGTGGCTTCTGAGCAGGGGCAGCATAGGGGATCCAGGAAGGAGAGGAGTGAGGGAGATTACCTGTAGAGTGGAAAGCCCCCATTCAGAAGAGATCACAATCCCAGAGATCCATGAAAGACAAACACAGCTTCTAAGTGCTTCTGCCTTGTACCATAAATGCAGGCACATGTGTCTTCCATGCAAGGAAAATTAACTAGTACAGATCACAGGCCAAATCTATGGCCAGACCATGTCATTCCTTCTCGCCATTTCTAAAATATTACCACAAATTCCCCCTCTCTCTTCCTCTGCCCCAACTTGTGAAAGTGGAACTAGGTCATGCTTTGCTTCTTCCAGCTTTATGGACAGCTTGATCAGACAGCAAGTTGATACTGATATTACCGCTCCCTTTGAACTTTTCACTTCTGACAGGTCGTGACTCTGTGCTGACCTTTGGCCAAGAACCACATATATCAAATAAAATGGCACACTTTGATCAATGATGGCAGCATTGAGGCTCCAACAGAACCTCATTTTTCATGTGGTGTGGGAGCTCCTACAGCAGTCACATTCATTAATGAAATAAGACAAACCCGTAATTTACTTTTGAGATCTAAGAATATAACAAAAAGTAAATTGAAACTTGGACAGGGAAAAGTGAGTGGCAAATAAGAGCAAAAAAAAAAGCATGAGTTTGACCTAAGGACAAGCGCCAAAAGCAGTGGATGGGGGCACCATCCCAGGCCAGTGCAAGGTGAGCTCCTGAGCCAAGACTCCCACCCTAACGCAAAGGCTTGTGAAGATGTAAACCTCTTCAAGCCCGAGGATAGCATTCCTGATGCAGGACACTCGGGATTCCCACAGAGAAGATCAGTCAACTCTGAGATCAACAGTGTTGCTCAAAACACAAGGAAATATAAGCTTGAGATAGAGGTCAGGAAGGGAAGGAGCCAAGAGGGCCAGAGATATCTACCCCAAGCACCTTCAAAATAAAGCACACAGACTATGAAATGTTCAAGGGAGCAAAAGGTGTAATCATAAAAACTAGGAAGCAATGAGATAGTCTCAGAAATTGTCAGAAAAAATGAGAACTGCTAGAAATTTTTTTAAATGTAATCAGTGAAAACAAAAAGCAATGGATGAATTTAACAGCAGGTAAGAAACAGCTGAACTGAAAATGACAGAGATAGAAGACAAGTCCTAAAACATAATTTACCAGAGAGTAACACAGAGAAAGGAAATAAAAAATAAGGAAAATGTAAAGGATGAATTAAAAAGGTCCAACAAATGTTTAATAGGAGCTTTTGAAGGAAAAAGAGCAGCAATATTTGAAGAAAAAGAAATTGGCTGAGTACTTTTTCAGGACTGATGAAAGAGTTGCAGGAGGTACAGATGTGTGATCACCACTAGTATACTTTTCTATAAATTGCCTTGTTTTCTTCTCTAACAGCTCAGGTAAGACATGAGTTTCCTTGTTTTATCATCAAGTAAACCGAGGTGCAGACAGATAAAGTTGCCCAATCAACTTGGCTGGGCTTGTCTAGTTCCCTCCTTTCAACTTCTTCACTTAAGTTTCTATAAGGAGAACTCATTTTAAGGTTAATTCCATTTCAACCAGTGAATTACTACACTACTTGTAGTGCATTCCCAGGATGGTTACAGATCCTCTGGGGAACTATGAAAATCTCAAATTGTCACGGCTCTTCATC